GAAAATAGCGAAAAAAAGTTCGCAGAAGCTCATCATTCATTTACGAATACGAAACAGGCAGGACGCACTGGCTCACACCTGTAATCCCAGCACTTCAGGGGGCTAAGATGGGAGGATCACTTAAGGCCAGGAGTTTGAAATCAGCCTGGCCAACATATTGACCCCCTGTCTCTACAAAAAAATTTTTTTTCAATAAAAAAATTAGCTAGACATGGTGAGGCTGGACGTGGTGAGGCATACCTGTCCTAGGTACTCAGGAGACAGAGGTGGAAGGATTGCCTGAGCCCAGGAGGTCGGGGCTGCAGTGAGCCATGATTGTGCTACTACACTGCAGCTTGGGTGACAGAGTAAGATCCTGTCTCAAAAAAAAAACAAACAAAAAACTCCAACCCTAATCAAACGAAACCAAATCAAACAGTATTTATAATATGCCAGATATGGTGTTTGTGATGCAAAGATGAAAATGTAGGATCCTTGCCCTAAAAACACTTAAGTTTAGAAACAGGCATGGAAATACAATGTAATAAAATAGTACTAACGCTATAACAACTATAAAGATATTTTGCATTGAACTGAAGCAAAAATAGGAAAAATGTTGAAAATGGTAGCAGTAAATGTGCAGATCAATAAGTGCTGTGGAAATATTAAATGATGTTCACTACATACTTAGATTGAAAAGCCAAGAAAATAGCCAAAACTTTCAAGAACTATTGAGCTAATGAACCAGGGCAGGAGGTGATCTTTGTAGAATTCTGTGCCCCCTGCCTAACTTTAAATTCCATGTACTTAATTGTTTTTCACAGTTTCATTAGGGCATTTTCCTCAAGCTGTTAATTTTGAGGAAGCTATTATATACATAGGAAGCAACATATAAAAGTGGATTTCAAGTCTTGCCAAGATGTTGCAAAATATGATTTCTTTTTTTTTTTTTTCTTTTTAAAGATGGTGTCTCACTCTGTCACCCAGGCTGGAGTGCAGTGGTGCCATCCCGGCTCACTGTAACCTCTGCCTCCTGGGTTCAAGCGATTCTCCTGCCTCAGCTTGTGGAGTAGCTGGGACTACAGGCACCTGCCACGACATCCAGCTAATTTTTGTATTTTAGTAGAGACGGGGTTTCACCACATTGGCCAGGATGGTCTTGAACTCCTGACCTAAAGTAATCCAGCCACCTCGGCCTCCCAAAGTGCTGGGATTACAGATGTGAGCCACCACGCCTGGCCACAAAATACAATTTCAATATATTCTGAAACTGTGGAATGCACATTTTAATAATTTCATATTTACTATCTAAGCTTTAATGTCACAAGAAAAGAAAATGTTAATGGCAATTCATAAAATAATATTGGTAAACATGTTTACTTGAAAAGGAAAGCAATTAACATTGTCTTCTCTTTCTCTTTATTTTTAACGGCACTGGCACTGTGAGAACCACATATTAACATAAACAACTTTGTAACCTTATTCTGGGAGAGAGTCCTTGTTTGCAGGTGTCTGGTTAAAAGGAGGAAGGAGGTCAGGCGCCATGGCTGATGCCTGTAATCCCAGCACTTTGGGAGGCCAAGGCGGCTGGATCACTGGAGGTCAGGAGTTTGAAATCAGCCTTGCCAACGTGGAGAAACCCTGTCTCTACTAAAAATACAAAATTAGCTGGGCGTGGTGGTGCAGGCCTGTAATCCCAGTTACTTAGGAGGCTGAGGCAGGAGAATCACTTGAACCCAGGTGGCGGAGGTTGCAGTGAGCCTAGATAGCACCATTTGCAGTCCAGCCTGGGCAAAAAGACCAAAACGCTGTCTCAAAAAAAAAAAAAAAAAAAGAAAGAAAGAAAGAGGAGGAAGGACAGCAAGAGCAAGAAACGCTAGCCCCACTTGGGAGATGGCTAGGAGAGGGAAGATGGCCGCAGGTACATTGACTGGGGTGATATCCGTGTATCAATCTAACAGCAGCCCATGGCCTTCCATTTTTCTTTTCTTTTTCTTCCTGTTTCTTTTTGCAGTAAAATCTCAAAAAGGAAATCAATTAAAAAAACCAAAAAACAAAAATCAAATAACTCAAAACACCTCTCTCTGCCTTCCCAAATAAACATCAGGTAGATATACACAACTAGGGCACAAATACACAACAAACATATTTTTAAAGTCACAAAGTGGCCAAATAAATGCAAAAAAAATAAGAGAGGGTGGTAGGGTGTAGGAAACACTATCATCACGTATTACTTTTAAGAGTACAACTTGGTCAAATCACTTCTGAGGAATATTTTGGTAACATGAATCAAAAGCTTTTTAAGTATGCGTATTTTTATCTGAAGGAAATAATTGGACAGGTGTATACAATGGATGTAGGCCATGTTTACGCAACGTTATATGTCATGACAACAAAAAGGAAAAACTTCCTTAAAAAAGAGAGGAGCAGTTAAATTATGGCCTATTCAACTGATGGAACACTAGTAGCTGTTAAAATGGTGATCTAAATTTCAGTTGATTAACACTAAAATGTGCTCATAGTATAATTATAAGTAAAAATGGCACGAAACATATCTTCCATGTTGTATGTGGGTGAGTGTGCTCATGTCTCCCTAGGAAAGTCTGGAAGGACATATGCTAACATGAAAATACCAATATGTTTCCTTTTTCTGGGTGATATCTACGAGTAATCCTTACCTCTTTATTGTTTTCCATATTGTAAAATTGTCTGTAATGACCATACATGACTGTTATAGTTTGTTTTTAGACCTCAGGTGCAGAGTATTAAGAATTAACTCCTTGGCCAGGCGCGGTGGCTCACACCCGGAATCCCAGCACTTTGGGAGGCTGAGGTGGGCAGATCACTTGAGGTCAGGAGTTCAAGACCAGCCTGACCCACATGCTGAAACTTTGTCTTTACTAAAAATACAAAAATTAGCCAGGTGTGCTGGCGGGCACCTGTAGTCCCAGCTACTCAGGAGGCTGAGGCAGGAGAATTGCTTGAACCTGGGAGGTAGAGGTTGCAGTGAGTCGAGAACACGCCCCTGCACTCCAGACTGGGTGACAGAGCGAGACTCGGTCTTAAAATACAAACAAACAAACAATAAAGCTCGTACAAGGTAGGGAGCAAGTGAAGACCTTTACCCAGAAGTCTGTAAGAACATAGGGGTGTCAGATGCCAGGCCACGCCACTGTCCAGGGAATTGCAAATTGTTCACCTTCTCACTTGGTGTGAGGGGGCAGCGATAAGAATATTGGTTAGTTTGTGTGTTTGTCCTTGGAATATTTATTTGGGTTATAATCCTCAGCGAGATTACAACTACTGGACTTTTAGTCTTAGAATAGTGCATCACCAAGAGTGGCCACTAACAGATGTGACGCCAACCAAAAGAAACCACCATCTTGGCATGCATCTGTGTGTTCGTTTCCTATAGTGCCACTACAAAGTACCAACAACCTGGTGGCTTAAACAACAGAAATGTATTGTCTTGTAGTTCTGGAGGTCAGAAATCCAAAATGAAAGTGTCAGCAGGGTTTGTTCCCTCTGACAACTGTGAGAAAGAACCTGTTCCATGCTTCTTTGCCAGCTTCTGGTGGCCTTGGGTGCACCTTGGTTTGGAGATGGCCACCTTCTCCTGCTGGTGTCTTCATGTTGTCTTCCCTGTGTACGTGTTTGTCTCTGTCCAAACTTCTCCTTTTTATAAGGACAGCAGTCATTTTGGATTAGGGATCATTCTAGAGACTCTACTACCACATAATCTTGAAACATCTTGGTGGAAAGAACACGGGCTTTGCAATTATACCTGAGTTTGAATCCTGGCTTTACCACTTACTGGTGAGCGGTAACTGCCTTGAGAAAGTCATGTCATTCTTCAGGACTTGCTTTCTCATCCACATAATGGGGATGTCATGTTGCTGTGAAGATGAGAGATACTCTAGAACGCGCTGGATAAGTGGAGGCTGTCACTACCTGTGAGCAGAGGGCCTTTGCTTTTCAAGGTGAACAGTCTATGAATAAATACATCTGTAAGTGACTCTAATGGGGAGATTCTTAGACGACAAGGATTTCATCTGTGAACCAGGTCAGTTGGCATCTGTACCGGAATCCTTCCTGCCTACATGTGATCACTTGTTTGGAGCCAGCTGTAATTTACAGGTTACTTTTAGGTGAAGCCTGTATAAAACCATTTTACAGCATTCCAACCTGGATGTGACATTTGTTGACCAATGTGTGCCATACTGGGGGTGGGGGGAAAGGGTGCAGCCTTCTAGATATGAAGACCAGCAATGCCTTCTATTCCCACACGTTTATAATCTCGATTCTGCCCCACTCTGATAACCTTCCAGGTTGATTTGAACTGAAGACAAGGACATATATCTTGAGACACTATCATACTCTGTTCAGGTTATCCAGAAGATTATGGAAGTTTCTTCCATTACTAGGGATAAAAATTTGACTTAAATTTAGCTTAGTATTAAAGGTTGCAAATACGTGCTCAGATAGAAGCGAAACCTTGGGTGAATGGGATGGGGACAGGAAGGAGAGACCCACGAGCAAAGAGGAAGGAGTTAGTTGTATGGGTGGAAGTTTGAGCTTGGGAGGAACCAGGTAGCGACCTCTCCTCTGAATAAGGGGCGCTCTGGGCCACTTCCTCTTTCTTCAGAACAATTAAGTTGACCGTGGACTTTAATCACATTAGCAGGACAATTTTGAAACAATAATCCGAAAGAACTTTTGCCAGTGACTGCAACTTTTTGGTATCATGGAGATCAGACCGAAGCAAGCTATTTGCCTGATTACTTTTTGATCAATTTATTTTTGGTTTAGTCAGGCTCCTTTCCAAGTCTGTGCTAATCCGAATGGTTACCTTAGTATATCAATGTCCTAGTAACTGTAGCAAGGACATTTTGTTGGAAGTCATTTAAAGCGGGTGTCTTTGAGTCATGTAGCACAGATAGCGGCATTTACTGAGTTTTTTACACCTAATATTGTTCATAAGATTTTATCTGTTGCTACCATATTTGTGAAGTTTATAAAAAATGGGTTATGAACACTATCACAAGGTGGCAAAATCAAGCTTAGAAATCAATCGATTAGTGACTCTGCCGTAAAATAGTATATACACACACAGTTTTTAGTTATACATTTATTAAATACCATTAGAGTTGGTACAAAACACAATTTTTAGCTGGTGGCTCTCTACTGATTACAAAGCAGCCAACATACCATACTGGGGTTTTCAAGCCTCGGGAGCTCACCCAGCAATACGTAGCCAGGCAGAAAGGGTAGACAGAATAAAAATCAGTGAAAGCCAGGATATTAAGAGTTTTGATGGTTAAGTGGGCAAATTAAGACTCTGGAAACCGAGAAGGTGTATGGAAAAGAAAACGGCGGAGGTGGACGACAAGGACACAGTAACAGCACAAGGGAATTCACAGTAACAGCACAAGGGGCATTCCGATGGAGCAGACAGGCTGCACCCAGAAAGGTGGGGAGGGGTTGGAAGCAGATGGGCAGACACGAGCGAGCGTGCACAGCCTGAAAAAGTTTTCATGATGGCTCCAGCCTAATTTCCCAACGCTGGTCTCCGGCGCCACAAAACCCGAGCAGCCCGACCGGAGCCGGGTGCCAGCCGCAGGGCCGCCGTGGCTGGCGCAGCGTCCGGAATTCCTGCGATGTCTGGGGCGCGGCGGCGGCTCCTCCCCGCCCCCACCGCGGCCTCCGCCGGCTTTTTCCGGCGAGGGGACCGGCGAGCCCTTCGAAGAACCGGCTCCACGCGCGGACAGCCGCGGCCGGCGCGCTCCCCCGGGAGCGAGGCGAGCGCCGCGCCCGGACCGCGGTGAGAGCCCTCCAGGCACTGGCTAGCGGGGTGGGCTTCCCGGGTCCCCGCCCGAAGGCCGCGGCTTCCCGACCCCTCCCCCGCCCGGAGCCGCGCGCGCCCCCCCCACCCCCACCGGCACAGGCGGGGCTGCGGGCGCCGGCGCGGAAGCGCGGAGCGCTGGGGCTGCGGGGGCGGCGGCGCGGGAGGCCGCGCGCGCTCCCCGGGCCGCAGTCGGCGCGGGCGCGGGCGCGGCGGGCTCGGGGCGGGGCGAGGCGGTCGGGAGGCGGCGGGCGCTCGCGCACAGGCCGGGCCGCCGCCTCGCCCCCCCTTCCTCTGCCCCTTCCCTCCCTCGGCCCAGCGGTCCCCCTCCTTTCCCCTCCCCCGGGCGAATCACGCGCCCTCCTCTGACACTCGTAGCGGGCCTGAGCTCCGAATTTATCCTTCACGTGACCTGAGGGGGGTTGGGTGGTTGGCTGGGGACGGAGGGGGAGACGGAAAGGAGGGAACGGAATCTGCCGTTACCCGAGCAACAGGCCCCGCCCGCCGGCTCGGGGCCGGGGGGCGGGAGAAGGACGTCAGCACGTCAGCCGGGGTTTTGCGTTTTGATTGACAGTTGCTATAGCGACCGGGTCGGTCCGTCGCCATTTTGTTGGTTGGTTTTTTTTTAAACCCTTTCGCTTCCCGCCCGAATAATAATAAAAAGCCCCATTGGAGTGAGGCGGGGGTGGCGGCGGCAACCGCGGCGGGGGTATCCGGGGAGACTGCTGCCGTCGCTGCTGCTGATCGCGGCCCAGGTCGGGCTCAGGGAGCGGACACCCCGAGCGGGGGGTGCGGGCGCCGCCGCCGCCGCTTCTGCTGCTGCTGTTCCTGCTGCTGCTGTTGGTGCCGCTGCCGCCGCCGGCGAGCGGGCGGGACCGGTGTGAGTGCGAGTGTGTGTGCGAGGGAGCGTGTGCGAGGGCGAGTGTGCGCGCGGGTGTGCGGGTGTCTGCGAGTGTCTGTCTGTCTGTGCGGGGACTCGGGGGCGGGCGGTTCGGGCTCTCCTGGCGGAGCCGCCGCCGCCGCCGCCGCCCGGGCCCCGGCGCTTCTCGCTGCGCAGGTTCGGAGCGCGCGCCATTTTGTGAGATTTACAAAATCCTCTTCGGGAAGAAGCCGCCTGCAGCAGCCGCCGTTCGGCGCCCGGCCTCGTCGCCGCCGCCCTCCACGCCGGGCCGGGCCGCGCGGCCCCGCCGCCGGGACTCGGGGCCCGGGGACTGCGGTATTTGCCGGGGAGGGGGCTATCGCCTCCCCGGCCCCGGGCGCCGCTGGAATCGCGAGCCGGGGAGAGACTGAGCAGGCTGCGGCGCGGCCAGAAGCCGGAGCGCCGGGGGCGGAGAGAGGCGGCCGGGGCGGCGCTGGCTGCGGAGGCCGCGGCGGGAGCGGGAGCGCGGCGCGGGAGCCCGAGGCTGAGACTCACCGGAGGAAGCGGCGCGAGCGCCCCGCCATCGTCCCGGTGAGTGTCCGGCCCGGCCGCGGCCCCACCCGGCCCGGCGCGCGGCTCCCCCGGCGGCCCGCAGCCGGGCCCGCGCCGAGGCCGGCCGGGCGGAGGGAGGGACCTGCCATTTTAGGAGGAGGTGCCGCGGACCCGGGGCTGGCCGCCGAGGGAGGGAGCCCCAGGCCCGGTCCCGGAGGAGCGGCGGGCGCGAGCGGAGGGAAAGTTGCGGAGGGTGGGAGCGGGGGCCGCGGCCTCCGGGGAGCCGGGGCCTGGGGGGCCGCAGACAGCGCCAGACCTTCTCTGGCCGCCCGGGCGAGGGGGTGGAGGTTGTCTTCCTCCTCCTCCTCCTCTTCCTCCTCATCCTCTTCCCCCAGCTCCTCCCTCGTCCCTCCTCTCGGTCCCCACCAGTGTGGGAACCGCCGGGGTGCTTCGCAAGGACAATGCACGGGTTAAGAAAATGGGGCCGGCTGCTGGGTGGGCGAGGACGGCCGGGCCGGGCCGGGCGCCGGCGAAGGTCGGGAGCCGTTGCCTCGGCGGCCCTGGGGGTCCGCGCCGGAGCGAGGGGCACTCGCTGGCCTCCGAAGTTGGGCGGGGAGCGCGAGTGTCCCCGGCGGCTCGGGGTGGAGGGATGACCTGCTCGGCAGCCGGGGGAGTTGGTCGCTGAGGAGGTGAATTAGGATGGATACCTGTGTATCACCACAAAACTTCACGAGTCTATTTATAGGCACAAACCCACTCTCGCTTCGGAGCCACCAAAGCTGCTGAGTAGCTCAGCACTTGGCGAAAGGCTCCTCCCTAATCTGAAATAGTTAAAAATGGTAAAATTAGTGAGTCAGTGACTCCGGCTTTTTGCCTGTGCCTTTCACCCGACCCTAGGTGACACGAATCCTGTAATCTAGGCGCAGCGCATGAATGCCAGCACCATTTGGTTCTTGAATTCCACCCAAATTGTCAGAAAATACACCTTAGAATATTGTTTTTACACCCAGTTAAAGATTGGGACGAAGAGTGCCAATGCTGTTCTCAGGGTTTTCAGTGGATTGACGAGCTTGCCCAACCAGTAGGAACTGTTCCCATTTTATAGATGAGGAGACTGAGACTGGAGAAGGGCACTGACTGGTCTAAGGTCATACAGCTGGGAATCCAGGAACCAGGAGGCTGTAGCCAGTCTGGACTCGTAAACCACTAGGGTGTAACTCATTATTAGAAATACTGGCAAATTTTGAAGTGATTCGTGTGTGAATGACTCAGGACTGTAACCTAGAGATTGTATCCCCGTACGTTTTTTGTCATGAAGAAGTAAGGTAATGGTAGTGAGCCCTCTTACTGAAACTTTTCAGTCCTTTTTTTCCCCCCAAGAAAACAATGTAGTCAATTTTTGAAAGAAAGGAATTAAAAGTATTCCTTGGTGTGTTTTGTACTTCACACTTAATTTTGATTATAGTAATCTTCTGAGTATTGATGAGTCATAAGAAAGTTTCGTGTAAAGTTATGTTTATTTTATTCTATGAATGCTTAAGGTTCCTCTGTGACCCCTTTATACTTTGTGTCCAAAATGTTAATGAATATTAACACTTTGATTTTGGGGTGCTTTAGTAATTCAGTGGAATTACCTATAGCTTTTGTTTTCTTAAATTTCTTATATGTTAAGTTACTTTAAGAGAATATTGTTTTCAAGTAGACTTTTAAAAATGTGAGGCTAGAACTAAAGTTTCATGTGCTAAGGTTTTAAACTGCAGATCTTTTCAAAGAAACTGGTTATGAAAAAAGCTTACTCGATTATAGTTTTTTTTTTTTTTTACATGTATTTCAGGTATCCCAGTGCAGGATTTTCCTTGGCATAGCAGTGGTGTTTATGGTAGCTGTCCAAATTTATTTAGATTTCACACCATGCCAGAAAGTTAAGGATTCCTGTCAATGTCTACACACAGTTCTCTTGTAAGACTAGGTGTAAAAAGTTTATTTTTACCTCAAGAGAGGCAGACGTTCAGAGATTATTATAGGAAGAAGAGTCTCCTCTTGTGTTTGCACCATGAGGGCACACTCGTTTTTACCTGGTGGGTGTTGAAAAAAGGTTTGAAGGAATAGACTTGAATGAATGGTAATGATTGGTAGGGGTGGGAAATGGACTAAGTGACCTAGTGAGATCTTTGTTATTGTTAGGAATTTGAGATTTAAGTATAAGATCATTTCTCAAACTTTTTAAAGATATTTTGGTGGAACCTGTTAGAAACTTAACAAACACGTTATTTTGTGCAAGGGATTTAAAAACTAGTAAGTCCAGGTTTTTAGAGGCAGTAACATTTAAGATAATCGAAAACGTTCTATATTAGCGCAATGTTTTGTTAGGGAATGTGGATAGTAAAAACGACCAGTTGTTAAAAAAATTTTTTCCCTTCTAAAATACTGTCTGATGTTTGCTCCTTAGTGTTATTTACGAGAGTTACTGTTATGGAGAGTTAATGTTTATGACTTAATAAAGATATGGGGGTGGAGAGGCCTAGGTAACTGCAACAATGTATTTAAGCAATTTACATTGGGTTTTTATAGTGCTATGAATATTTATCTGCAAAAGGAAAATTCAGGATACCTTGTTATAAACATGATAAGATGGTGACCTTTGGCATGCATTTTGTTTTGTAACTACACAAATGAAGTGTTAATTTGGATTCAGTCTTGGTTTTCACTTGAAAACCATTTTTTTTTTTTTTTTAAAGAAGCTTAGAAATTTAGACTGCCCTGAGGTGTTTTTGTGTGCCTGTTTATGGTTAAGTATCTAGTTATGAGAAGAAAATGTGGATAGAATTAACTATTATAGGCGAAAAGGGAATTGCCTTATATATGCCATTAAACACAGACTAGTAGAAGATTGGACTTCACTTGTGATTTTCTTGGTACTTGTGATTAGGTGTGTGCCAGTTTGTCTTTGCTTTGACATTAGCTTTTCTTGTATTTCAGAGGGCTTTCACATTTCCTATACATACATAGGAAACAGTTTCACTCTGCCTCCCCCCCCCAGAAGCTTATCTCAATCCAGCAAAACCCAAAAACTTCCAGAAAGTCTTTATCAAGAACTTAGTGCTTCATCCCCAAAGTTGTGTTAGTCTTATTTTGTAGTATTCATAAGCAGTTATTTAAGCCGAACTAAGAATCTTTACTCTCTGTTGAGTGTTTCCGTGATTTTACCCCCCATTTATGTTTGTCTATTTTAGATTTAGGAGTAAAGATATTACTTGAAACTATTTTATGTGTTTCTTGAAACTTGATACTAATAGTTTGCCCTGTGAAAGTGAGTTGTGTGACTAGTAGAATAGCACCTTATGTATATATATAGTGGTTTTGCCTTTTAAAAGACTTTTTACCAGATGTTATCTTGACTGTTGGGCAACTATCTGATGGCTGGAGAAGTTGTGGTAATTTATAATCCAAAGCTAGCTCAACTTTGGATTAAAAAGTTTGGAGAGTTAAAATTTGTGTTTAATTACTTGGAAAAATCAGCAAATTATATTAAATTACCTAAAATTTCTTCTCAGTTGCTCCCCAATGAAAAAAGCTTTTGAAATCTTGCTTTATGTCAGTGCTACAATGTTAAGCTAGAGTTGTAATGTTTACTGTAGGGGTGTTTGAAGGTGAAATGTAGACTTCATGTGACTGAAATAATAATTGAAGGTTCATATTGGGTAATTGAAGACAGATCTTATTTCTTAATCTGCTGGCTGCAAGCAGCCTTAGTTTTTTTTTTTTTTTGTATGTGAAAACAAAATGATGTGGAGATATTGCACTGTAGAAGCCAGCTAGGTATTTAAAAAGTTAAGCGTTTGCTTCGATATCCTACTTCCAAAGTACTAAAATGAGTGAGAATTGTTTGCCGGAGATAATACCTTACATTGAACACCAAAAATAGTGTGGTTCCTTCTGGGCATATGTTTTGCTAATGTAGAACCATTTTGGTGTCTTGGCAATTGATTCTTTTACCAGAGCTATGTCTCTTCTCTTCTAGAAGGTGATTTTTAAAAGATGGTATTAAAAACTAAGTTTTGACAAATTACATATGTGTATATATAGACACACACACTTTGTTGTGAGGCACATGCTCATATCTGATATACAGTGAGTAATAGCTTAAAATGTGTCCTTGTTCTTCTTAGTGACTATTCTTGTTGTATCTCCCCATGTTAGAAAAGTTTAATTGATTTTTGGAGGGGGCCCACTGAGATGGTTTAACATGGAATGAAACTGGCTTTCAGCATCAGCTCTGTTTTAAATAATCCCTGTTCATTAAATAACCCCCTAATTTTCCTGAGTGTATAAAATTTCCAGTGACAAGATTTGATTTTTTAATTTTTAAAAAGCTTTCACAAAAATCTTTTCTGTATTATCATTATCTATATTATTCGATAATATAGAGCCTTTGTGGCATCTTGGCAGTTGGCTCTTCTACCAGAGCTATGCGTTTTCTCTTCCAGGTTTTTCAAAAAAGCTTTCACATGTCTGTAAAATGTTCTGGACGTGTATGGTTAAGGCTTGCATCTCGGCACCCGTGTATTCAGGCAAAAAGATGCTTGAGGCCAGGTGTGGTGGCTCACACCTGTAATCCCAGCACTTTGGGAGGCCTGGGTGGGCGAATCACTTGAGGTCAGGAGTTCGAGATCAGCCTGGGCAACATGGTGAAACCCTGTTTCAAAAGAAAAAACATCTTGAATTGTGACATTTGTCTGCTTGCTATTTAGTTACAGACAGCAGTTGAGGCAGCATGATGCTGTGGAAAGATATCTTGCCCGTGAAACTGTGAAGAGTCTCCAGTCTGGCTGATCTGAGTCTCAACAGGTTCTGTTGGCTGTGTGACTTTAGGCACAGTGATTTCACCAGACATCAGTTTCTTCATCTGTAAGATGAGGTTGATAGTAATTAGCATAGGAATCTTGTGAAAATTGAGATAATGCATGTACATTTCTTCATGGATTTCTTTCTCCCACTTTTCCTCTCATCTTCATTCATACTCATATTGTGATCCTAGCATAAGTATTTTCTTCACGGAGACCCACCCCAAACCCTAGTCCAGGTAGCTTTTTTGGCCATTCTTTTTTTGGCCAAGCAGGACCATTTGTTTTTCTTTGACAACTGTTACTGCAAATACAGTTATTCATATATGTTCACATATATAATTGTTCATTTAATTTCAGCTTCTCCTTCTGAGATTTTAAAGTCTGTTTGGACAGGAGTAAGGCTTTCTTGATGATGGCTATAACTCCAGTGCCTGGCACAAAGGGAGTTTAGGTTAATGGAATGATGGAATGCGGAACCTGTATGCGGAATCCTTCCTGACTACCACTCCTTAGCCATGTCATCTTGGGCAAAATAGCTTCTCCTTGCTTCAATATCCTATATGTCAGGTATAGATAGCACTGGCTGCCTTCCCCAGGATTTTGAGAGTATGAAATGAGACAGTATAATGAAATGCTTTGTAAAAGTGTAAAATGCCATGTAAATATAAAATGGCACAGTAGCAATAGTCTCAGTAGTGGGATTATCCAGTAGGAAGCTTTGTCGTGACATAAAGTAAGAATTTATAATTCGAGTTTTAGCTTTGCTGAGTTGGTTGGTAGCTGCTATTTAATAGTTATGATAAATTTAAGCTTTCTTATATGTACTACTTAGAATGTCGATGGCCCTGTTTCTGACTACGGTGGCTTAAACAGGAAGTTTATTTTTCCTTCATGAAACAACAGTATAACTTATCTAAGGCTGATATGGTGTCACCATGATATGAGGGAGCTTGGTTCCTTCTGTCTTGTCGCTTTCCTGTGCTTAAGGAGATACCATTTTCTTCACAGTACAAGGCAGCTTCCCACTACATCCATGGTCCAGGAATAGGATTTTGGGAAGGCACGTTCCATCCTTTTAAAGACAAACTGGAAGTTGCATACGTGTCTTTTGTTCATACCCTGTTGGTCAGAACTTAGTCATGTGGCCATATTTAGATGCAAAGGAGTCTGGGATATGTGGTCTTTGATAGGTGGCTATTTGACTGAAAATTTGTGTTTACTGAAAGAAGGGGAGAATGGGGGATAATTACATGTTGCCCGTCACACTTTCAAATGTTTTGAGAGAAACTTACAGAAATAAACTTTGAAAAGACAATGGATTGCTCTAATAAGTTTATTTTCTGTATTTGATCATTAATCTCTTAAACTATGGTATGCAAATTCAAATAGACAATTACTCATGCAAAATACACGTATATGGTCAGATTAGAAAAATGTAACTCTTAATAGTGAAGGGATTTTAGGACTAATAACAATTATTTTACTGACACTTTATTTTCTGATAGAAACATGGTTCTTGATTGCTGTGATTGCATCATACAAACAATATTTGAAACCTAAGCTTTTGCATTTAGTGTTAGTAGTTAACTGGACCATACTGTATGTCTTCCTCTCATATCCTTAGCAGACAATGCTATGATAACACTTGATGTTGTCAGGATTTCATAAAGATTTGAGTCACTGAACACTACAAGAAGGATGATAGCAGAGATATTTAAACACACATTTACTATCTCTCTTTAATTCCAGTGGGTGCGAAAAAAGAGAAATGTGTAAGATTCCTTTTAACTATATTATTAGATCTAGTAGGGACTTGGGAAAACTAATGGTTCCCAAACAGTCTTCTGGAGAACTTGTCAAAAGTTAAGAGATTTCTAAGCTCAGATGCTTCCCTTTCTATAGGTTTGGAGTGATGCACTGGAATCTGCTTTCTTAATAAGGACTCCAGGTAATCCTGATGTAGTAGGTACATTTTGAGAAACACTGATACAGTTCATTTCTCACATATTAGGGAAGGAGATGGGTGCAGAGGACTAGTCGGTGCCTCACAATAAGCAGGCCTGGTACTACCATTATTTTTCCTGACTCTTGGTTCTTTGTTCTTTCTACAGAAGAGGTGATAAAGGACAAGGTGTACGGAGTACAGTGGGATTTTATAGGGATAGTTCTCATAAAGTAAGTATGTGGCTTTTTATGTGGGAGCTCATGTCTAGTGAATGGTTGGCTCAATTGTCCTTTTTGCCCTATAGAAAGATAATCTGCATATTTAAATACTCAAGTGAATATTTAAAGGTGAAGTCAATATTTAAAGTGAAGTAAATATTTAAAGGTGAGAAGCTGAAGGTTTTAAATAAGGTTTTGTTAGTATCAGTACTATAGTGGGCAATATATATACAGCATTAGAGTAGATGTATAGGAAGCTACTTACTTGCATGATTAGAGGGAACAAAGGTAGTTCTTGTCCTCAAATTACTACTTCACTTTTCCGTTGCTTGTAATTTTCACTGTTGGAATTCATTCCATTAGATTAAGATAAAATCTGAATTCCCTAATTTAAAATGAGAATATTCCTGGAGGACTATTCTTTGCTTGTTATCAGGTTAGCACTTTATTTTGATCAGTTAGCTGGCTGTCATTATTATTAGATCTAGCCTGGAAACCCCGCAACACTCAATTGGAGCAGGTGTGCCTGTTTTTGCCCCCTAAAGTTGCCTTTTGGCCTGCCAAGCCCCCCTTTCCTGTACCCATACAAACCCTAAACCCCAGGCCCCACCAGCAGATGAGGAGATGAACAGAAGAGCAGAAGAATGGCAGAACGGCGCGGCAGAGAGGAGAAGGCGAGTCTGAGTGCTGAGAGGAGTTCCACTGGGGGCGGTCAAAGAGGAGATCAGCCGTTTAGTGCAAGTGTCAGTCCAGAAATCGGAGTGATGCTTGCGCTAAGAACGTTTTGGAAAGGAGGAAAGAATACAGGATGTGTGCCCTTTCCTGAGAAAAATGAAGGGTGTTTGAGAAATGTCAGCTTGTGGTGTGGTCATGGGAAGGTTCATGTGAAGATTCTCTGGTGGTCAGAAGTTGTGTTAGCCTGCCTCAATGGCTTCCTATCACTGAGAGCGTTGGCACCAAGGGTAATTCTGTCTAGGACTCACTGCACTTGATTAACTATTGGACTAGAGGGCATGTCCCTGTTTTCTTACTGTTTTATTTGTTAGGGCTTCTATTTGAGCAGTCTTATAAAACATAATATAAGGTACAGTTCTGATCATCTAGATTATTTTAGTTTTTAAAGATCTACAAGTAGTGTATAGTTGAAAAAACACAAGCCCTATGGAATGATAGCAGATAGCAGATCATTTCCCCCTTCTCATGCGCCATAATAATAACTATTCAGTTTTTCCTACCAGAAATGTATGCATGTGTACATCCCAACACAATTATTTTAATATGTATTGTGTTAGAGAACTACGTATAAGCCTATTATTTTTAAGTGCATAGACAGTAGGTGTATGTGTATGTGTAAATGTACACATTGTCAATGTACTTAAAACCCAAACCAAATGGGATCATGCATACTAATCACAGTTTTGCAACTCAGTTTTGCAACTTTTGGTTTATCTTAGAAATATTTCGATATCAGCTCACAGAGCTCCCGTTTGTTTTTTTCTTTTTCTTTTTAATTTGAGATGGGGTCTCACTTTGTCACTGAGGCTGAAGTGCAGTTGCACGATCATAGTTCACTGCAGCCTTGCCCTCCTGGGCTCAAGTGATCCTCACACCTCAGCCTCCTGAGTAGCTGGGATTGTAGGTGTGCACCACCATGCCCAGCTAATTTTTAAGTTTTTTGTGGAGACATAGTCTTGGTATGTTACCTGGGCTGGTCTTGAACTCCTGGCCTCAGTGATCCTCCCATCTTGTCCTCCCACAGTGCAGGTGTGAGCCACTGTACCCAGCCCCTATTGGTTTTAATGGTTGTATCCTGTTTTATGGATGTACCACTATTTAGTCAGACTGCATTAAAGAACATTTAAATTAATATTTTTGCTCTTTTAAACAATGTTGCTGTGTACTTCTTTGCATATATAGTTGTGTTCTGTGAGTATTGGCAATAGGATACCTATTTATAAGGAAAGTGGCTGGTTCACCAGGTTTATACACATTTGAATATGTATTGCCATATTGTCTTCCAGAAAGTAGCACTAGTTTATGCTTTCACCAGCAGTGTCTGAAAGTGTATAGTTTCTCAAATCTCACCAACACTGTTGTTATCTGTCTTAGATTTTTCTGAATGTAATAGGTGAATAACGATGTCTAGTTGTTTGGATTTGCATATCTTTAATTATGACTGAATTTGAACACCTTAAGTTGTGCTATAAGCTTTTTATTTTAAATAACAAAATATTCTTCATCAGATATGTGCTGTAGTTGAAGTATTTTCTGGTTTCCCTTTATTTCTTTACTCTGTTGGTTGAATAACTGATGTTTTGATAAATTGTAAATGCCTGCAGAAAAGAGGGCTCTTGTTCTTCAATTGACAGAGAACATTTCTTCAGAAATGTTCTTCAGAGGACATTTGCATGTTCTTTGTATGAGATATGAGTGGTGATGGCAGAAGCTTTTGACTACAAAAGTGAATAAGATTTGGTTACATCTGTTTTTAATGTTGAGATAGGTGTGTGAATACAGGAAAACTTAAACACAGACGAGACCATGGCTGTTAACAGAGGGCTTTACAAGTGGAGAGCTAGAAGGGCACAGGAAGTAAGACAGTTCTGGGGATTTGAGTGTGTATTGTGGAGGAGATGGGACTGGATCTTGATCTTGAAGAGTGGATAGGCTTTTTGTGGTGGAATCTGGGGACTTGACAGTCTACTGGATGAAGTCACGTGGACAACCACTGGTGGTGGGCGAGATGAAGGTGACTTTGGAGAATGACAAGAATCATATGCCTGAAGCGTCAGATGAGAGAGGGAGGGAGAGTGAGTTTGGTATGCTCAGGAAGTGAAGGGGACAGTTGTGGACATGAGAGGGGTGATGAATCTTAAATTTTATAAAGAATTTGAATTTGGGGCGATTGAGGGTTTTTCAGCAGGGAATGAGGACAGATCTCTGGGTTAAGGGGAGGTGACACTGTAATGTAAGAAGGAGGGTTTGGAAGGCAGGACCATTCTAGATGTAATGTATAAGCATGAGGGAATACGAAGAGGTGAAAAGTAGAAGACAGATGGGAAAACCTTAAAAATATTCTTAATTATACTTTAATTTCCAACAGACCAAAGTGAGTATTTCTGGATTCAAACAGCAATGTAACCAAGTTTTTGGATAGGAAGAAGAGTATTAAGCTTTGTTGGCAGCATAGTAAAAGGTTTTAGGAATGCAGTGATTGGTTTAGTGGGACATGGAGAGTATTTCGTACTGAGGACGTGAAGGAACTGTTGAAGAACAGAAGATAGAATTATTATTGTAGTTCAGAACTTACATTAGGAACAGGTGGAAATAATTTGCAGCACCATTAAATATGAGCTAAAAAATGGGACAATGGGAAAAAGCAGTGTTTGAAGCTGTGAATCTGTAAAGGAAAAGGTTGTGTCATAATTCATGGTTTGGAAAATAGAGAGTAGCTGAACATGTGAGCAATTTCATTTTTTCTGAACATGTTAGTATTTGCCTAAAAAAATCTCATATTCTCATTAGCTGGGCGTGGTGGCGTGCGCCTGTAGTCCTAGCTACTCGGGAGGCTGAGGCAGGAGAATTGCTTGAACCCGGGAGGTGGAGCTTGCAGTGAGCCGAGGTTGTGCCACTGCACTCCAGCCTGGTGACGGAGTGAGACTGTCTCAAAAAAAAAAAAAAAGAAAAAAAGAATCTTATATTCTCTTTATTTTTACATGTATCCTAATTGGAAGATTGGTTATTTAAAAAGCGTTTATCTTGTAGGGTAATAGAATGTTTACTGGACACCTGCTGGTGCCACATATGGAACTGAGGGCCTGGGAATCAGTGATGAAACAAAGGCCACGCCTGTCTTTGCTATCATGGAAGTTATGTTCTGGTTGGGGGAAATCTTTAATAGTTCCTGAGTAGGCTTAAGGACTCAGTCTAGACTGGACATCAATTAAATTTTCCTTAAGGTGAATGTAGAGCCTATAAAATGGAATAATTTTTGATGTTGCTTTTGAAGGTCAGAAAATTTTTGTTTCATTTTAGAATCCTTTTAACAGTTAATTTTGACTTAAGAGTTTGTTTGATAAAAAATAAGACTCTAGTCCATAAGACTAATACTGTCTGCTGAAAAATTTGTTCTGATTTGGTTATTTTCCTTGAAAAGAATAACTTATCACAGTGGTTTTTTACTTTATATCAAATGTTCATTGTTGAGAGACATTGCTTCTGTGATATAAAAGATTATTTTGGAAAAGTTTTTTGAAACAACAATGGTAAGAAAACTAATAGGATCTCAATGAGTATTTCACAGTTTATTTTATTTTGCATTTCCTTGTTGTGCTTCTGTAGTACAATTTAAAACATCAGTAAAGCTAGGTAAGTTTACCTAGGAATTGGCCTGAAGGCCCACAGTTACTCAGCAATATTAGAGTCAGCTATGCAAAGGGAGAAGCCAGACATTTTGAGATTCATGGGAGACAGTTTGTAGGAAGGCTGTTTGCTGAGTAAGACAGAGATATAGACATGCAAAGTAAAGGATGTGGGTCTATAGGGAAGGTCAAAGAATAAGGAAAGTTCACTTGAGTGAGCAGAAATGGAAGAGGGATTTAAGCAAATAGATGAACAGGAATTTTCTCTCTTAAAAAAAACCTACAAAATTTTTAAATGATTTATTCTGACTTTTGGGGTAAAGAACTACATTAGTCACAGGACCCGTCAGCCCTGCCACCTGAATGATCTGGATCCAGTTTACTTACTCTTCTCACTGGTCTCCAGATCATGTGACTCTGCGGGCTCCTGGTCTCTGCATGTGCTGCTTCCTTGGTTTGGGATCATCGCTTCTTTCTTTTAGTTAACTTCTCTTCCTCCTTCAATTTCAGCTCAGATATCACTTAGTCAGGGAAGCACCTTTCCTTCAGCTCTTCGCTTTTAAAATCTCATCTGCTCGTACTCTTGCTTCATACCGCTTATTATAGTTGGTAATTTTTTTAGTGCTTGTTTGATTAATGCCCTCCAGAGATCGGACCAGTAGTGTTTTGCACTCTCTTGCAATCTGAGGGGTTGGTAGGGTGCTTGGCACGTGGTAAACACTAAATAAACATTTGTTGAATGAATCAGTGAACTACAATCTTTACTAATTGGTCTCAATGACCAAAGCTTAACAGTAGGAAGATGTTTGTGCACTTGGAGTGAGAGGAATAGAGAATATGGGAGCTTTGAGGAAAAAGGAAAAGGTGAATTTTTTTAAAGATAGGATTAGAAAGCTCTATGTAGTTAGGAGAAAGAAAATTACTTGTGGAATAACTCAACAAATGCATATGAAATGCCTACTATGTATTGAGAACTAGATATTGTGAATGTGGAGTCGAAAGATTCTGCCTTCTGTGTTAAAGAAGTATATATGTAATTGTAGTAGTTTATTGAAAATGGGGACAGTCCTTAGTGGTCATTAGGAACAGTTATAAGTCATGGAGAGGAATCACCCTGGATCAGGATCTTCTTCACTGTTCTAGCTGACACAGGGAAGTTCATTCAGCAGTTATATCTGGAATGTAGCTCCAGCGTTTGTAGTAGGTGTCAGGTGCAAATTGAATATAAGTGCTATAGCCAGGTGTGGTGGTGCTCCCTGGTAGTCCAGCTGCTCAGGAGTCTGAGGCAGGAGGATCACTTGATTCTGGCAGGTTGAGGCTGCAGTGAGATGTGTTTGTGCCGTTGTACTCCAGCCTGGGCAGGTACACCCATAGTGAGACCCTGTCTCAAAAACGAACAGCAGCAGCAACAACAACAGCAGCAAAAATCCCTGTAGCTTTGATTTTTTTTTTTTTTTAAAGACAGAATAGATAAGTTCATTTTGATTCTTTTTGGCTTTAACTTCAAGTTTGGACAACAGAACAGAAAGAATGAAGGAAAGTTTGTAGTATGGACAGGTTTTCAAAAGAATGAGTTGTGTAGTTAGAAAATTACTGAAGCTATTGTTGATCTTGTCAAGTGAACGAGCTTTCTTAAAGCTTGTAAGAGATTTGTTTGGACATAGTTTTGTAATCTTTTTCTGTGACTGGTGTCTGTAGTAGATACTAGGAAAAGTGAGTAATCAGATGATAACTTGTTGCAGGTCTTTCTGCCTGGCTCCATGTTAGGTGGTTGGGACATAGTAGTGAATCAGATGGATATTCATGGTTCCTGCCCTCATAAAGCTTTCTTTTTAAAAAAAAAATTAAACTTTTATTATGGCAGTGGGTATCTCACTATGTTGCCCAGGCTAGTCCAAACTCCTGGGTTCAAGTGATCCTCCTGCCTCAGCCTCATGAAGCATACGCCACTTTGCCTGGCTCTTGAAGCTTTCAGTTAGCCAGAACTCCGTGGAGTGAAGTGTAAAGGAAAACCTGGCTTGTGGCTTGGGTGAGCAGTTTCATTTATTTATTTATAATTTCTTGAACTTAGTTTTCGTGGTACCATTTTAGACTACTTTAAACTACTTGTTGTTTTATTTCTGGTAACATAAGGATTGTGGGATCACTGATAATACCAGGGTAAAATAAAAACTTGGACTTTTTGGCAGATTATGTTTTTAAAAAGGTATTATGTAAATCTGAGTTTCACCTCTTAAAAAATAAGCTACTATTTAGTAATGGTAACAACAGCTACTATTAATCAGTTACCTGCAGCGGATCAGCCACTGGTCTATTGAATGAATAACTATTGTTAGTTATTTTAAATATTTACAGCAACCCTACAAAGTGATTGATATTATCCCTGTTTTATAAGTTGCAAGGAAGTAAATCATAGTAGATTGCATATGCCACTTCCAGACAATAAAAAACCTGAACAATTAAGTGCCCTAAAGTTAAACACTTAGAGAAAAAGAAAGAAGAGTTTCTGTAACCCATTAACTGAAGAAATAGATAAAAGTTCTGGCATACTGGGATTGATGCCTTGTGCCATTGGTTCATTAGTTGTTTTGGATTATCTAACACCTTTCTATGTTTGGGGAATTCTTTACCTTGGAGTTTTGATGGGAGGCAGAGATCGCCACCATTAAAAAAGCTAATTGTTCACTTTTCCCTACCACTTTTGCAGTTAGGATGCAATCTGTGGTTTCCATGAGTGACTGTGCTTGACTGCCACAGAGGCCAGTGATTTGCAGAAGCAGGGAGTATGTAGAATCTGTGTTCGTAGTCAAGGAGGGATGGTGATGGGATGGCAGCTGTATCTGTTTTTGGTAGGCAGCAGTGACTGAGATTGCAACATGCAGTGCCTGATGTTGGTATCAGTATAAGTTGTAGTGTTTGAGTCTCGTTTGGTCTTCTTTGGACCATATCTGTGGTTTGAATTTTGGATGTTCTTGACTATGTAGTCTTCCAGCGTGGCCGCCATGGGTTTTCTGTGAGTTGCCTAATACACTTTAATAACTTCCTTGCAGCTTAAACAAAGCCTGAGCCAGTTTCTTTATTTGCAGCTAAGAACC